GTTCCAGAGCCTCTACCAAAGCTCTATAGTTGTGTCTGTTGGCTGCTGACAACTGTCCAAGTATTTCCAGTGGTTGCCCATTCAAGCTCGTTTCCAGATATACAGCTTTCTGCTCCTCTGTCCATCCATTCATCTCTACCAGTAGCTCAAATTGTGCTCTATATGCTTCCCACAGTGCCTTCCCATCGAATTCCTGTGGCCTCCTTCGCACTGGATCACTCCTATAACTGACATTCATATCTGGGATGTGACTTCTAACGGGACTGAATATGTCTGCATTAGGGTTTAGCTGCGGGCTCTGTAAGGGGCTTGCCATTGTTCGGGGCTGATTAAGTTGATGGTTAATGTATCCTCCTTGTGTAAAAGACAATAAATCGTCCTTTAACGTATCTAATTCGCTTTTAAATTTACTAATGTTTTCCATTTGCACTTCTTGTTTCCTTTCTTGTTCCAGTTGCCACTGCTGTAGTCTCTCTTATTGTTTCTTTTTTTCCTCCAACGACTGTTGTAATCTCTCTTGTTTCTTTTCTTTTTCCTCCAACAACTGCTGTAATCTCTCTACTTGTATTTTTTCTTGTTTATTTTCTCGTTCTTCTTGTTTCTTTTGCTGTTCTGGTATTGCTGCCATCAAATCTGCTAAGCTGTAGTTTGATTTGCTGCTTCTCGTTTCCATTTTTTTTCTTTTCCGTCCCACTCTCTGACACCAATTTGTTATTTCTCCGTTCGTTAGTTAATTTTCCGTAAATTTCGTTCCGACGAAACTTTAGCGACACAAGCTCTTTCTTAAATAAAACTGGTTTATTCTTTTTGAATACAACTTTGCAATACACTTAATTTCCACAGTCGCGCTATAAAAAACGCTATAATTCACAACGAACGTCTCACGTGCTCAACTCAACAATACTCTGTCCGCAGTTCAATTACACATTGTTGTCGTCACGTTGTGACCGTCTTCTATATACAAGACTACCCCATATCTAGTAGTCTCTCGACGCTTCATGAACGTTCTAGAAGTGCGTGGCGTGTTACAGCCTCACGTGGCCTCCGCTGACGTAACACTAGCTTTGTTCTTTACTGATCACACGTCGAGTGTACCACGATGAATTTATATAATGTTTTCGTAAAAATGCGTTATAACAATCACAGTTATAGCTTCCGAAGTTTTATAGCATACTGATTATAGCGAACTTTGGAGAATAGGCGGGAGTTTCGCAATACATATTTAACAACATAAGCTATGCATGTTTTAAATCTAAACAAACGTTGATATTAAGATAAATATATAATAATAAATTCCTTACACAACCGATAAACTCTGTACACCATTTTAGGAATGAATTCTATCACTACCTAGTTATCACACGGATAGAGCTCAGTTCCAGTAGGAAGGCATGGGGATTGAGACTGCAAAACTGGTTACTACACAAATGAGCTGATTTGGGTTACACAATATCAACCCATACCTTTGACTGTTAGAACCAACTAACGTTCACATTGTCTCTTCTTAGGGACTTTCTTCCATTTAAAAGTTTAGTACTAGCTTTGGTGTGACTTACGAAGTTTCATTATGTATGTGTTGCTTTCTGCATCCTACACTCACATGTGTTTGAACTGCACCTTGCACTGAAATGGTGTTAAGAATATATTCAGAAAATTGTTCTTAAAAATAATTTAAAATGCATGATTTAAAATATTCTATCACAGCCAAATAAACTGCTGGGTACATCAAGTTTATAATTATAGTATTTTGGCACTTGTGTATAAAATTAAAATCATAAATAATATTTAACGTTAAACTGGTACACAATTAAAAACATTTTATTTAGGCCTATTATCCTCAGGTAACGTTGAAACATGTTTAGAGTCGTCAACTTTTTGAAGGCCATAGATAAGCCTAAATAAAAT